TCTCACTTACCTTCCTACTGAGAGTAAAACATATACAACAACAACCTGGACTCAACACTACCCAAATTTCTGTGTTTTCCCAACTTTGAACTTACATTTTCAGCTATTCCTTAGTATTATTAAAGATTTAGGGTAAAATTTGCTAAAGGCTCCAGTAACAAATGAAGAATTAAAATTTTGAAAAATTCACAATTTCATCACTTTTTTAAAATGTTATTTTTCAGCCTCAATGGGTCAACTCATTTGAAACAATGCCAGAGAAGAGCCGTGGTGCTTAGCGTCACTAATAAAACTAATAAAAGAAAGAATCTCTTGCAGAGAAAGAAATATCATTCTTTGTTATTCCAATGATAGAAACCAAATCTAAGAAGTGATAAAAGTAAACAGGAAAAAAATGACGAATTGATATAGAATAAATTTAGTTCATATTAGAACGTAAAGAAAAAGAAGATACATCTGTCTCTGCTATTTACTCTACTTTAACTAATAACCGATTTTTAAATTTTAATCGACCCAATATTTCCCAATACCAAAACTTTGATAAGCTATGCCCGGAAAAGAGTTCGTTAACAACGACGCCATGCTGTGCAGCTAGACAGAAATATATAACTACAAGGGGAAAAGCTTGTCTGAGACTTGTGCTGGAATGGGTTTGTTCTACCCTCTAGATGTGTTATGTACATTCAGCGCGGAATTACCTTTGATACCTAGAACAAACGGCTTCACAGGTTTGAATTTGATTATTTTGTGCTAACTATGCAAGATCGAAAAATAGAAGACGCCAATTCAGCTAATCAATTAACTGAAAGAAGCTTTACTGTGGCTAGTTCGTAATTTTTTTTGTAGACTACCATGACAGTTAAAAGTTTGATAAAACCCAGTCAGTAAGTAAGTACTGTGCCAAATGATATCGCACGAGCAATGTTAGCGGGGAAAATTTGTCATATCATACCCATGATACAATAATAACACCCCACAAATGTATAACAGCCGACTAAAAACAGATTTGAAATTATAAATCGGATGCCCTAACTAAAATTCTCGCGGAGTTTTACGCAACAGTTCGTACGAAATACGGGTGAGATTACGAGCATGATATCTTTCCTGTAATGACTACTGCTGTCGACCGATGCTAGACAAAGAATACAAACGCTCAAATATTCTCGAGAAAAGTCTTAAAAGTTTGAAAGAAAATTCTTGAGGAGACAGCTGATTATTGCTGCAACAAGGCAAAGGCAAGCGGCCGAACTGGTGAGCCATGATACAAATGACAACTGCAAGGGAAACAGAGTCATATTTTTGCTTGCATATTATTCATTTACTAACTGAAACGACCATGTCAAGAAACATACTGTACCGAGTACTTTAAGAGGTCACTTAAGCTGAGAGTTGTATAGGTTTCAGTTTAATACTCTCTCAAGTATGAAGGAATGTTTTACCCGGGTACACAGATGCGATGTTTATGTAATGGTTAATAAACGGTCAACAGGGAATATCGGATTTGATATCCAGGGCCAAAAGAGAGTGATTTTAGACCGATTTAAACACATGACTACGAGTTTATTTAGAGTCCTCAAAGACATTCTTGGAAAATCTTGTCTCCATAGATGCCATAACAATGATTATTTTGAGGACGTTGGAAATTAGACCACGAAAAAAAATACGTGCAGTGACTTTGTATCTGAGAAAAGACCGCATTCTAATTAGTAGGAGGTTCTATCGACATACCATCACTGCACGTGATGTATTATGAAAAATTTGATAAGTCAGTGATCTTATGATTTAGAAATAACTTTAGAAGCTGATCACATTAGCATTGACGATTCGTGCGAATGCTTGCGTAAACAGGGAATGGCTTTTTAGGGCTTGGCGCATAATATCAGGTCTGGCAATGTAGCGACGTGAAATAGGCAGAAATAGTTGTTTTGCTGGAACAGAAAAAGTGATTGGTGCCGAGCCAGAGGAATTGCGGGTGAATATTTTTGATATAAATGGCACTCCGTTTAAATGTGAAAATCGTTTGATCATTTGTCCACGATGTCTGGAGCTACAGGCCTCTGAATCTACACTTGTAGCGAATACACCAATAAACTCTCAAATATTTAGTTACATAACCAGTGGTGAATGAAAATCAAAAAAAGAAAGGATAGCAAGAACATGCCTGACGGTTTGGATATTTATACGAAACGACATACAAAAACACAAAGAAAAATTCTGACTAATAATTTATTGGCGCGAAAACTATTTTTAAAAATACGGTAAACCGCGCAAAGATTGGAGACTAACAAACCGCTGGACGACGTTGCAGCAACACTGTTGTATGCATTTCACTGATAGTGTAGTCATCATCACATATATAGTACTGTACACCAGCTGGAATGGAAGAGATAGGTTGAATAGTGGCTATCATTTCTTCTCATTTTTCCATTTAAGTCTCCTCGTTGAATAAACTTTTTTCTTTCTTTTAACATACTTTGTTGAAAAAACTTAAGGTAATACTTTCAAGCTTTTCCGTGAATCTAAGATTAAGATCATTTGGTCATCATCTTGAAAAACGATGCCATACCCGTTCTGCCAAATTTACCCCTTCCTGGAGGGCTATTAAGTGCTACTTTGAAATGTTACACGTTTCCACAGTGAAGGTGATGGAAAGAGACATGGTCCACATAATTATAAGATGGAAATGCTAAAACAAAGTGACATACGACGAAGTTTTATTTTACTCAAATATTGGTAAACGTACCGAAAGAAAACATAATTTCACCTTAAATATTTTTGCCACACTAACGAGGGATAGCGAAGAGCACTTTACCTCGCTAACGTACCAACGGGAATTCTACTAAAATGACGACAGAAAAATGATGCAAGTCAACTGTATTAACTAAAACGGGTCACTACAATTCTGTTCGAAGATAACGATCCTTGCTTCTGACTAAAACTAAGAAGGACTATAATCAAATGTGGTTAGCCTTCTTCGATGCAACTGGATATCAACCTCGATGCAGCCGGCAGGGAAAGCCAAACGCGACATTTTGAATGGGTTGCCTGCAAAATCAAAAACAAATAAAACCAAAAAATAAATAAATAAACCATTAATAAGCTGAACAAAAGCAAAACCTCGACACTAAAAGTGAAAAAAAAAAAAAAAAAAAAACAGCGATGGAAAAACGATTAAACCGCCTAATTTTTCAGTCTCGGTTTGCAGCACTAAACTCAAAACTAGAGAAAACTGAAATTTGAGTAAATTGATTTTTTGAAAACAATTTGCTGTTGAACAGAAAAGTTGAAGAACACAAAGCCTACTCAATAAATTACCCGAGCTAAACGCTCTCTAAAGGAATTTCTGAATTATAATGTCTTGGTTGGTCTGATTTCAGAGCCATTCGCCGTTGCCAACTGGCTTTCCTCACCCACTGACTTTCCTCACCTACTGGCTTTCCTTTGCAGTAATGCGATATCAACACAGTTTATAGTATGCTATATTGAGGGTTCCCAATGAGATTCTTCAATTCTGCGATCCCGACTGAAATTTTTTCTCCGTTAGTTCAATGACGATATTGGCAAAAGAGAACTTCTCGGTGTTACGTGTCTCGGTGAACCGGGATGTAAATGGTATAAACTCTGTCTTTTCAGCATTACTTCTTAGCTTGTTTTGCGTGTTCCATCGTATTACATCCTCTATACAACTTCGGAGGGCTATGGCGATCAATTACGTGTTGAAGAGGGGCGATACAAAGGGTGAAAAGTAATGGTTCAAGTATAGACCCCTGTGGGACACCTTAACGCAGAGCACAAGGAGTGGACACCCTAAACAAACCCTAAACCCTGAACCAGCACAGAGTCAGTTTTGAGAAAGCAAAGTAAGACTTGAGTCATTCCACCAAGATCGTATGATCAATAGTGTCAAAGGCCGCTGATAAATCGAGTAGTACTAATACAACATCTTGGCGACGGTCAACCATTCTAAAAATGTCGTTTGTCACACGTAGCAAGGTCATTTCCGTAGAGTGGTGTTTCCTGTATGCAGACTGCGTAATTGGCATCAAATTATTTGTGTTTCGACAACCTTTTCGATCAATTTGCTAAGGAACGGAATATTACCAAAAGGCCTGTAGTTCTTAAGAATCTCTTTGTCGACGTTATCCTTTTTCAGACGTGGGCGCACATGTGATAACTTCAAAAGTGAAGGAAACTCCCCCGTTACATAGTAGATAATAAATCAACATACACCCTCCTCAATCCTGTTAGCTTATTCTGAGCATGGAACTTCAGACATGGTGTATATGTAACAAACTCTCCATTTCCTTGACTAATTATTTCGTGATGGTGTTTACAAGTTGCAAAAATTTAAAAGGTTGGGTTGATATAGTACAAAGACTTGCCAGTGTATGGTCATATGAAAACCTTTTTACAGATCAATAAATTTATTGTTGTGTTTCATGTTAACATGTTGCCATAACTCCACCTTCCAGTAAATTCATTTATCTGCAAACTTGAGTAAATACTATCTAAAACTTTTCAGAACCTCTTTAATATAGCCAAGAACAACATCAACTCAACTTAAAACTAAATCGAATACTTCATTGTGTTGGAATTGATTTCTACAATGTAATAATGAAATCCAGGTATTATTTCAAGGTATCTACGAATATCTTCATAGTCGAATCCTCGGTCTCTTTACATCATCAAGTTTTAATTATAATATTCTAGTTCTAAATTGCTTCCCTTTAAATCAAACGCAAGAAACATTTTACCCAAATTTCGTGTTTTAGTGGCTAGAGTTGCCAAGATCATGGACAGTCGGCTTAAAGGAACTTACATTGCATGAAATTACAGCAAAGGTTACCAAATTATACAACAGAAAAAAATCCCAAAACGACGCCGTGTATTTCCGACCAGAGGACAATCATGAACGCGAAAAGTCGTAAGAGAAGAAGTTTTAGAAAATAACTGTTTTTTCCCTAGGAACAAGGGCCACCTTCCTTTTCATACAGATCAGATTAAAAGAGACTCTTGTACCTATTAGATTTGATAAACAAGTTGACAGCGATGAGAATCCCCAGAAAGGACAGGGATCCAAGGGTAGCACCCACAATAACCGAGGTTGAGATTGATCCTTCGTCATCTGTCTCATCTTCTTGATCTACTTCATTCTTTGTGGATGGCATTGACTGAACAGTTGTGATGCTAACACCCATCGACCCTTCAATAGATTTTATATCGCTTTTCACGATGTTTTTCAGGACATCTTCGCTGACCAAATTATCTCCTACACCTCCAGGAAGTTGTAGGTAGAAAGCCAACAAAGTTATGCTTGGATCGTCCGGTGACAGCCTTGGGTAACCAGGGACAATCTGAACCATATCGTCTGAGAAGTTCATGCTATCAGATGATCGTCTCCGACGAAGACTGAAATGGATCAAGCAGTATATGTGACCTTCCACAAGAATATAATAATTATTACTATTACTGCGGTCCTTAGATATCCTATCTCGTTCTTCCTTATATGCGTAGTCGATAGTGGAGCCTTTACTTTATAGCAGCCATCGGCTTAGGCCATCTGATGAGTATAATTATCCATCTCACCGTTCGTCCCTTTGCATTACGTTTGCTTTGTTCTTCATTTAGTTTGCTATCTGCTTTTTTAAGATTGATGATAGGTTTACCTTGTTTGACAGGATGCTCCTCCATTTGCACAATATTTATTAGCTGCACTTGCAACTTCTCGTTTAAAGTCTGCTTCCATCTCCTTCCACTGCGATGTACAGATAAAAAACAGGAAAGGGAATACTTTCATGAATGCTTCGACAAAAGGAATTCGCGTCGGTTGATTCAACTCAAACTACATGTACATTGAAAATTGTTTCTGTGTTTAGTGATATATGGTATGATAAAACGTGTAGAACTTTTTGTTCGTCTTCGCCAAATAAATGCATAACGACTAAAGATCACCTTCTTCATTTCAAAATTTGTCATTTTTAACATTACTGCTTCCTGTATTTCCTTTGCCGATGGAGTGCGAGGAATAGCAGTCGGATTGTAAGTCACCACGTGGGTCGACGTAAAATTCCCCTTGGTTGTTGGAGAATCATCTAGAGAAAAGAGAAAAGACAAAACATTGTGCTGAAAACATAAATTAAGTCTCATTTTTTTTAGTGTGGTATTAATATTAATGAGGAAATTTCTAAAAGTGAAGTGTGTAAAAAGGCCGGAAAAGATGAGAGGCTATTACGAGTGAGCTCGTTATGAAAACTTTGTGGGTGTTTATTGAGAATTGATTTTGAGTGACTTAGCCCAGCTGCAGTTTTCAAGATTGTGAAAGGAAAAGAGAGAATCACACGTAGCGTCTATTCAAATGTTCATGCTACGCACCTGGTGATGTAAGACAGCTTCCTCTCTTAATCGAAACGTCATCAATGGCAATGTCTCCCTTAAAAGATGATCCTACTATCCCCTCAAACGTGACCTAAGACAAAATTTGAATAAAGGACGTTTTATAATAAACCGAATGTAGAGCTGTAAAACTGGACACTTAACTCTTATCCCACTTTGTCAATAATCCTTCACCTCATGGAATTATTAATGCTGTAATCAAAGAACTTAAATTTTCACACAAACCACCCTGCCTTCATTGCATTGCCATAAGCAGTCATTTCAGATAAGAGTTATTTACACCTGGTATTATAAGGGTGTTGAAAAAAAAAAAACAATGATATTGCTTAAGTGACTTACAACTTTGTCCAAATAAATATTTCGTTCGGCTTTCTGCCAATAGTTTCCTTTGTTTCCTGAGGCACTGAATACAACCTTACTTCCACTGAAGACATTTAGGGTCCCCGTAGTGTCTCCGTACATGTGATAGTAGAATGTAAGACAAGCCTCATCTCCATTTCCGCATAGGGAGAGTTCAAGCTTTGCTTTATCATCTATAACTCGAGGGGACGATGCCTCGATGTACATATAGTATCCTGAATAACAAGAAAATACATACATATGAAAAAATTACTTTGATGTCTCTATCTAAGTTTCTGCAAAATTCATCGGCAACATTAACGCGAGTTTGTTTATATCGAATAGCCAATGTGACGGAAAGATGGCTTAGTGTAAGTGAGTGAGTGAGTAAGTAGGTAAGTATGGCTAAGGCTTCAAACATCAGCTATGTATGTTGGTCAACTTGCGTTATCATCTAAGTCGATAAAACCAATTTATCTTAAAAGTTCAAGACACTTTTCAAAATGGTTTATCTGCAAAGCAACGGTAGACAATCGGATAATCTTAACAAATATCTTGTGAATGTGAATTACGTGCATAATAGTCTCTTAATGCTAAGGTTTCTGGGTCAGAATAAACTTAGAGAGTCAGCTCATCGACTCGTATATGATAGCAAGTACATACCTGATCCACTAGTGTGGTCATAGGATGGTCCTGTGGACCCAGATGGAGTTGAACCCCGATGTCGTGTCCAGTCGAAAGCATCTGAGTAAGACTGCTCCCAGCCCGAACACAGACTATTGTCAAAATTGCATGATAGGTAAAACGCCGTAACAGGGAAAGAGGACATCTTGCTTGTTATCCACGACTTTAAATGGCGAATGTTGGCATATACAGTGTATTTCAATGGGTCTGCGCAGCGTTTGCTTCCCCAACTAGCAGCTCCCTCCAGATACCATTTACCACTGAACTCACACACAAGTGGTCCGCCGCTGTCGCCAAAGCAACCACCTATTCCACCTTCATCTTGGCCAACGCATATCATAGAGTCATCGATTTTACCTGGGTATGACGTAAGACAACGCTTTTTTGATACCAAAGGTAACTCAGCTTGCATCAACTCGTTGGGATAGGTTCCATTGTACGAAAGTCTTCCCCAGCCAGTTATCCAGCACTTCTTGTTAGGACTATCGAAAGGAAGTTGAAAACTCGTATCCGGAGGGCAAACAAGCCCAACTCCTTTTCCAAGCTTAGCCGGTTTTGATAACCGTAATAGAGCTATATCGTTGCTCCAACGGTATGGTCTATTGTAGCTTTCATGTTCAATTATTTTTATAACATCCAAATTTTGCTCTGTGCTGACATTGCCATAAGATTTGTAATGTGCCCCCAATCTGGAATCCAATCAAAATACAATATATGTTATTAATCGTACCGTAAGAAAAAGTCGCAGATTTTAGTATGCAATAAAAGTCTTTTAAGAACATATTGAGCGTCAATTAACCGTCAAGGGAAACGGCGAGGCCGCGTGTGATGCAGTTATGTAGGTGGTGTTGGATTTCAAATCTAGGGGCCCTCGGTTTAAGTCACCTTGCCGCACATCAAGGTTTGTTTGCACCATTGAAAAGTAAATCCTATGAAAAGTTCGCCGGAGGTTCAGCTTATCGGGTTCTATTCATGAATCTTTGTTGTTCAACAGTAAAATTTCCAGCTTTTCAATTAATTTCCAGCGTGCAAGATTGAATGTATTTCAGCATTTGTTACCAAGTTATTAGGAATATCAACTGCTAAAGGCTTAATTTTTAAAAGACAGTTAAGCGTGAAGAAAAATTTTCTCCTCACAGGACTTTCACCGACGACGCGGAATTTCCATGTACGCAGTGAGCGGCCGTGACAACCCAGAACGGATGTATCAAACTACCACCGCAAAACTGCCAACCATAACCGTTCCGCAGCATCGCCTGCCAGGGCCAGCTATTGATTGGGGCGACTGACCCACCAACAATACGCATACCACTTGGTCGATATCCGCATGACACTAAAAAAGAACCAAGCAACAATTCAGCAAGGTCTCAGAATAAAGCTGTTTGCATATTTTTATCATTTTCCGGCTATATATATAGGAAGTCTGCAAGTCGATTTTCGCGTGGAACAGTGCTCAATACGTTGAAGCAGAGCAGAATAAATATTATGAGAGGAAAAAAGGACGCAACTACATTTCCCGACAAGCCTGTTTCGTGAATCGCTTCACTCTTCAGGGGGTTAAGAGTGAAGTGATTCACGAAACAGGCTTGTCGGGAAATGTAGTTGCGTCCTTTTTTCCTCTCATAATATTTATATATATATATATATATATATATATATTATTATTATTATTATCTCTTATCAATATATTACAAGTTAGTTTAATCTTTGTCATGGCCTTTTCTGTCATTCATTTGATAGAGTATCTGACCACACGATCGCTACTGGCTCGAGTCGTTGCGGTGTGGACCGAGATTTCTTCACCGTCCTGATAAATTTCTAAGCATGTGTATGTGTACTTAGCTTTGAAGTCTTAAATTACTATTATGATTATGACCAATTTTTCGGATAGAGCAAAATCGTCACTTGGTGCCCGATCTTATCGCCGAATCTTTAAGAGATGTTTATACATAACTCTTGGCGTAGTGTGGCACAGCGTAGGTCTCGATAAGAAAATCACCATCAGGGCCCAGTTGTTCAAAGGGTGGATAACGCTGTCCAAGGGATAAATCACTCTCTAGTGATTACTGTTAACGAAAAATTCTTTGCTATCCACCGGAAGGCGATTTATCCAGTGGATAGCGTTATCCACCCTTCGAATAACCTGGGCTAGGGGATTTAATTCACACAAATTAATAATACAGTTGCTGCTACCCAATAGTTTGTAAGTCGATTTTCGATGGGATGTCAACAAGTCAATACGTGTACAGCTTAAATTCCTTCCTCGCAAGGTCTTCGGAAAACACAACACCAGGTTCAATGTTTAGTTTCCATTTTAATGGTATATTTGGCCGCGCAATTTTCTATGGCCACCCAAACTAGTAACGAAAAAAGACCTAAGCTCGTACCGTATTGCCTTACCATTTTTCGTGGTAGCGTTCACTTCTAGAGTCTTGTAAGAATAGCCAAGTGCGTCCACTCCAAACACTTCCATATGATACCTTTGTGAATGGTCCAGTCCATAAATTTCTATATCTAGTCTACTTCCATCGACATTAGCATAGTATGGAGCGCTTCCATCGGAGGATGAGAGAAGGACGATGTAGTGAAGTAGTTCTCGATTTATAAAGCTGGTTAGGTTATTCCACTGAATTAAAATACTTGAGCTTGCGATATTTTCTACTGACGCTAGCCAGCCAGGAGTATAAGTAGCTAAAAGAGTAAAAATTCAAGAGGTGCTTTTTCATTCCTAGGCATAAATGAAGAATTCCGTTCGTAAAATGTAACATCAAGCGGTGAAATGTACAGTAGAGGCAGAAAAGTCAAACCTTTAGAGAGATGTTTAAAAAGAATGTAAAAAGTAAGGAGACTGTGCAAATTTAAAGCGCAATGACAAGTAACATTTTTCCGTACCTGAATGGAGGCCATATTTTAATATCACAAAGTGGGATGTTATGCGGCTTTGTGGTTCAGTCAATAAAATATTAGCTTTGATTTTTTCGGATTGCATAAAAGGAATTTCAACAAAGGATCCTGGATCGTTGGGACAACAACCTTCCTTGTGATATTCGAGGGTTCCATCGCCACTGAAAATCTTCACATACTCGCTGCAATAGATGGCAGAAAACACAAAAGTTAAAATGCGCTTCCCGTACCAAAGCGGAAAAAAATGAACACGATGCTCGTTTCTCTCTGGAAAGTAACAAATTTTGATTATGACAGCAGTATTTATCAGATATCTCGAACTAAAGATACACTTATAGCTCATAATACGTTTGGAAAAAAACTTCGGTAGGTATATGAATGATGGTTAGCTCCCTATGTTTTTACTCTAGATATCTCGTGATCCTGTGAAAACTGAGAGAGACTGAACACTTCACGTTTATTTTTTTTTCCGGATATCTATGTTAAGATGCTTGGCTCACACGATGTGAACAAACAAATTACGAGGCATCAGTCTTCGATCTTTTTTAGCATGCGGTAAATAGCTTGGTAACTTTTATGATGGTGGTAACTGCACAATAGTGCTATATCGGAAACTGGCACACAACAGGAGAGCTATACCATACCTATAAATGCCCTACGTAATTTCTTAATTAAGAGGCGTCTGTTTATGTGCTATAAAGTCTTCAAAACGCTCTTTGCAGCTGTCAAAAGTGCATTTACAACTGTTTTCACTTGATTATATGGATTTATAACACTTGACAGCGTACAAATTAATGTTTAGCATGCGTGACCAACTGTACCGCGGGCACTATCTCAGCCATTACGTAATGGAAGGCCGAGGAAGAATGTAATGTCCAGGCGCTATTGCTTGCGTAACTTGGATACCCCATTAGTGTGCGCTTGGAGACGCCGGCAGATGATAATGAAGAGCGCATAGTCCAGTGTCGAGCCTTGGTGCAACGTACCGCGGGCGCACGGTTAGATATTACACAAGTTTTTCAATTGGGCTAGTAGACGTGAAGGCGCGCAAGTATTTGAGTGAAAATAGGCTGGATCGAAAGAGACAGAGCGAACAAAGAAAGCAACAAGTGAACGGCGTAAAGCGAGTCGAGAAAATCGCGGAAGAAAGTTAGAAAGGACGCCAAAATAGGCAGAATACGGCGAAAGGAACGCGAAAGAGAACAAGAAAAGGCATAAGTAAAAGGGCGAATATCTAGCTAAGAGCAACGCGATACAAAGACGCTCCTGAAAACAGACAGAAAAGAGGTCATAAACACAGAGAGCCGAACTACAAAGAAGAAGAGGAGGTAAGTCGATCGTGTCTTATCTGGGTTTTCTCTTACGCAGAGGCCCAGAAAAATGCAAACCTTTTTTTCAACCAATCGTCGTTTCATACCAGCTTCAGTTTTTTTTAATTCAACTGATTACTTTTCGGTAAAATAATTGACTTTGGCATTTATCGCCTAAAAACCCTTGCGCCGGTTCATTGGTCGAATAACATCAAATCATACTCTTATTCTTCAGGTTGTTTCTTGTCTTATCATTTTGAATGTTTAATACAGTTGTGGTGCTAAGGGAAAATAAGTTTTCTTACGGATTTTGCTTTGCCTAAAAAGTTTCCACTGATGGCGACAGCGAGCGCAAGTTTCTACTTTTTTCTCTCTCAGTTAACTATCGCAGGATTTACTATATTGATTTTTAAAAAATCCCGCTTTGTCGATGATGTGTTGTTTTACCCCTAAGAAAGAAGTAATGGCCTTTTCCAAAATTGAAATTGAACGAGATTGAGTCAGCGATGTTCGTGTTTACATTAGATTTGACGCGTAACTCGATTTTGACAATATTGTCATGTGAGAACCCGTCAAACATCTGAGAATTAAATTACGGACCGTAAATATGTTGTGCAAACAAACTCACGGCTAAAATGGAGGTAGTGCAACAGCCAACAAAGTCGTACTTTTCAGCGCTATGTTTTCATGCTTTCTACTCGATTCGTTTAAACTTCAGGAGATGGTTTAAATTCTCTTAGAAAACATGGAGCCACTTTCTCTTCGCTAAACAGCTCGAGGCGGACTTACTGCTCAGGCTATGATGAAGATGCTTGCGATAAGATAATTTTTTCCTAATGCTGGAAACTGAAGAATCGATCCCTGAGATTGATATTCATCACATTTTGCAAGAAGCGTCCAAGCTGTGATATTGTAATTCAACGGGGTTCTGGCAATTTAACCTCACAAGGACGCTGCCCTTGCGAACCGAATTCCCAGTTTTCTGGGAATTCCTAGGAATTCCTAGGAATTCTCAAAAATTCCCAATTATGCAAATGATCCTTGCAAACTGAATTCCCAGTTTTCTGGGAATTCTCAAAAATTCCCAACTATGCAAATTAATTCTGATTTAAGAAGCTTGGAATTACTGGGAATTTCTGTGAAAGAAAGAGTCCAGTTTTGTGAAGACTTGGAATCTCTAGGAATTCCTAGAAATTCTTAGCTTTACAAACTACCTATAATTTAAGAAGTGTGGAACTCTTGGGAATTTCTGGGAATTGAATTTGAGGCAATTTTAATACCCTGAGGTCCACATAAATTCTAAGAAATTCTCAATACCTTGAATGTGAAGGTTTTAAGAAAAGGAGTAATTTCAGAGGCTTAAAACTTTGGCTCAATAAAAGGTATGCTATACAAAACTTACCAAGAGATATTCATACATGTATATGTTTATAACTTAACAATCATGAAATTTATTATTCAAACTAAGTTTTAGTAAATCTTTACATTAATATGGATTTTCTCATGAACCAGCTGTCAGTTATGTTAAATGGAAATTGCCAATTAATTCTATGTACTCATGTCACAGATTTGCTTTCTAACCTCAAAGGACTCTTGGATTCCATGATCAAAAAATATTTTTATTGTGATGCAAATTAATGTCTCATGTTCACTGGTGTGCCAAGATCATCAAACATTCATTACCTGTTACTTGGTACACAACTTCCACAATAATTAACAATAATGACATTGTTATCTACACTTAAAGAACTTTGTTAGTTATGAACATAAGTTACTTTCCTAACCTACATTACTGGTTGCCTTTGTTAGAAAACCTTGGAACAGTCAAGCTCAGTTGCCTCAAACACTGTCAGAGACATTTTTGTTGACAATATTTTTAGTAGAAATTTCATGCCTTAGACAAACAAATCCAATACCTAATTAATCTTTCTTTTTTCATGATTGTTGTTACTGTTTTTTTTTTTTTTTCAATTTTTTGCTCTGTTTCCGTGACTAATTGCTGTAATTTTTTTTGCTGTTTTTATTCTTACAAAACGTTTTTGTAAGAGTTCCAATACTTGTGGATCATCCACACACTTTGCAAGCATTTGGCATGCAGACAAGACAGAGGCAGTCAATGTTCCCTTTGAGAAAAAACACCTTTTAAATGACGTCTTCAATTTAGTTTATTTGAAATTCTGATCTGAAAATATTTGTCAACAAGACTTGTTAGTAGTGAGAAGTACCAACCAAGTTTCCTTTCATAACTTAATTTCTTAAATATCCCAATCACTGGATCTCCCAAAAAATATTACATCTTTTTATTTTTGGTGCAAAATACAAGTCCTTCTTTATATAAAAATGAAAAGTGCAAGTCACACTTCAATAATAACAGCTCTGAAGTTTACTTCTTGTTCTTCTCTGTCTGTCAGCTATCAACAAAACTGTTTTATACTTCGGACAGTGCATAACTATTTGTGGACCAGAGTTCCAACGCACCTCTGTAATCGCATATAGTTACTTTTGTCTCTTGTACAAATGTTCTCCTTTGTAAGACGCACTCTACTCTGTTGTCACTACTGCTTTAAGTTCAGTGGAAACGACTGACTGAGGAATCGAGATGGCGGTGTTGGAACGTGTTGCTAAACGCTTGCTACGGTCAAGCTTAGTAGATTTTGGTTAATGGTACACTGGGATCATCTATGTATCTCTCATCCTTCCTAATGTGGTATCCTTCTTTTATAAATATGAGGGTAAAACACTATTTGTAGTCGCATTCAAAACTGTGATTGGCTTGTGTTATTTCTCACCTTTGCCATGAACACAACTCAAGTGAGTTTCGAGTCTTTTTTTCCTCGACAACTTTCGGCCACAAATCGTGCATTTGTAATACGATCGATTCTTGTCGATTATTTCTACATAGAGTGAGCTCACATCATTATTTATATCACCAAGGTATCCATCGTCTAGAAGCAGAGAACCAGTCGGAGAAGTCAGAATAAAGTTGTGCGCTTCTCTTAACACTGCAATCGGCAAGACAGCAGATTCACTTTGCTAGCCAATGACAAGTCGTAAAAGATCCACGTGATCGTGCCCGTGATCGGAAACAAAGAAGACTCCATTTGGCGCTCCTCTTTGAATGTACTTTTCATCAGTTGATCGTTTTTCTCAACTGTTTTGCTTAATATAGCATTTCTAAAGATAGCTTTTATTGTGGTTCAATGGGAAAACGAGAACAGCGTGAGTGTTGTAAAAGAAAAGAAAGTCGTTGGCGCCGTGGAGTTAAAAGAAGGGACAACAGTTGACATATTGACTGGTACAAACAAGGGTCGAGTGGCTATCTGTAAAGCTACGATTTTGAAAGTTTGTGGTGAGTAAAAATTGCGATATTCGTTACGTGATCAAAATCTTATAAAAGAATAGATGTAGCGGGTTGAATTAAGCTTACATAACGCTCGGCGCAACTGAAACTAGAATAATTCTGAGAATCGAATCGGTCACTTGCATGCCACAGTTTCTTAAGCTTATGCTTTACAATGAAATAAACCTATCATAAGGTTTCAAGATTCTTCTAGTCATGTTTGGGAACATTCAAGATTCATAATAGGAACTGTTATTAAACAAACCTTATTACATAAAGAAGCCCTCCTTGGTAAAAACAAGATAATGTATTCAGCCCTTTTTTAGTAAAATCTATGAGAGAAATGTACTAACTCCAATGTAAAAGTTACTCAATATAACAGATATTTCTCAATTTGAGAATCCAATGAATGCCCTTTTCCTCATAGCCATCTTATAGGCCTGGTCTGAGCTTTAAATATATTTATTTAAATATATTATTTTTTTCAAATTCAGATGTCATGGAATCCAGATACAAAATGGTCAAGCTTCTT